ACCATGAGTTGGAGCGAGTCAAATGCAGCTTACAACAACATGCTTATATAAAACCCTAGAAAAACAAGTTTAGTCTATAGTCACTGAAAGCTATCAGTTTTTGCTGGCACTAGGATGAAGAGTTGACTGAGAAGGGTGCAAGGAACTCTTTTGGGTGAGGAAATGTTCTTTATCTTGAGTATGGTGGGAGGTCAAACAAATACATTTATCAAAGTTTATTGAAGTATACACTTAAAATGGATGTATTCTACAATGGGAGCATTACATGTAAATTATATCATAATGAAGTTGATTTAGTGCAGTGGTTAAAGCATTTGGCTACTAACCAGAAGGCCAGTGGGATGAACCCACCAGCTGCTCCACGAGAGAAAGATGAGGCAGTCTGCTTCTGTAAAGATTTACAGCTTGGAAACCCTATGGGTAATTCTGCTCTGTCCTGTAGGGTCACTGTGAGTCAGGATCCAAGCAATGGCAGTGGGTTTGGATTTTTTGGTTTGGAAATTGATTTAAAAAATCATAATAAACCTGTTTTCATCCCAGTTCTGTCATATGCTGGCTGGATAACTATGGGTAGGTCGCCAAACTATTGGAGGCCTTGGCTTTTTCACTGTAAAATGGGAATAGTGATACTAGGGGTGCAGCCCTGATGTAAAGCTCAAGTGTGATTGGGTGTGGTATAGGGAAGTCCTTTATGAACTATAAAAGTTTCTGTAATAAGCTACTATTGCTCAAATTCTATGGTTCTACTTAGCAGTTTTACAAGAGAACATAATTCATACTTAAAGAACTCATGAAGTAGTTAGTCCAAAGGATTAATGGACCATGGAAACCTCAACCTGTATGACCCAGAGGCCAGAAGAATTAGTTGGGGCCCAGCTATCAGTGTCAACCACTCAGGGATCAAAAGTAGAGAACCTGTATGGAATAGGAGAAGAATGTGGAACAAAAACAAACAAAAAACAGGCTTACTGGTCTGATAGAGAGTAGTGAAACTCCTAAGACTATGGCCCCTAGTCACCCTTTGGGTCTGGAATTGATCTCACTCCCATGGCTTAACTCTCAGCCAAACAATAGACAGGCCTATGAGCTGAACATGTGTACCAGGGAGATGCACACCTTAAAAAGGAAAAAGAACTCATGGAGGGAAGTAGTCTGCAAATGTGAAAATCTCTGTTCTCCCTAAGAACTTGGAACCAGATTGTTTAGATTAACCCCCATATTCTTTCTGAACAGTTTCCTTGGGCTGACCCATTATTATATTTCACAGAAGAGCCCCATTGTAAATTGTACCTATGTGCTCTGAAGGAAAAGTAGTTTGGAAATGATGCACAGGTAATTACTAGGCTTAAAACTGTCTCCTATAAAAGAAAGGTAAAATCACATGGTCATACATAAGGGGACTGATCATGTTCCTTCAAGTATATCCTATGTGCCAGCCACTGTGCTAGACAATAGCATGCATTTTCTCCTTCAGTCTTCACCACATGTCTTCATATAGGGAATTTCTGGCCCTGTATTATAGATGAGAAAACTGATCTCCACCAAGGTTATATGTCCTCCACAGGGTTACCTCATAAGAGAAGATGAGAAAGAGAAAGGTAGCTCCTGACAGCCAGGAGCTGCCCTGGCATTCAGAGCCAGATCTTGGTGATCTGTTGACCAGTTTTATAGAACACTGACATAAGACAAGGCCCACTCTGTGACTGTAATGGGTCAGGACACAAACAAGTTCACTTTGTAGTCATGGCTGAGCAATGACAAAGCATGAACATTGGACAGATTATAAAAATGACTGCTATCCTAGCTTTAGCTCTGGTCCATAGTTCTTACCTTTCAGATAAGAATTATTGAGATAATCATAGGATTATCCCTGGTTCTTAATAGCATTCAATCCAGAGGAAAAAGCGTCCCCCAAATCACTTAACATAAGCCCAAATCCTATAATAAGTCCTCTCTTAACATCCTCTTACAGAGATGACCAATAGTTCCCCTCACACAATGAGTAATAAACCCAATTTGTTCAACTACATGTGTGTTCCTGCTAGTCTTTGACTGAAGAACCCTGACAGCAAGAATACAAACCTAGGTCTGCCTAACTCCAAAACCCATATTCTTAGCACTGCATCTCCCGAAAAGTAGGATATTTAAGTAAAAGGCTGGAAGGTTGATTTTGTTTTTGCTTTTACCATTTGGTTTTCATATACTTTTTTCTCGCCCTAGAAAGACTTATATTAATATGTTAGAATCACAGATGAGCTTTAAGTTCCCAACTAGCTCATAAGTATTTGCTAACTCCCATTAAATGAAGAACCCTTCATTTACTCCCTTATTCTCCATATTGTTAGGGTGCACACCTCATGTTCCAAGCTCTAACTCAAAATTTGGCATATTGATGTGAAAGACATAGTGGAGCTTGCTGTCGAAACATACTAGAAGATAGCATGATGGGAGTGAGGATAGGGCTCAACACAGGCACTGCTGAAGGCCAAGAGCAGAGTTGTTATGTTATGTGCCATCGAGTCGGACCCGACTCACAGGGACCCCTCCTTGGGTTCCCGAGGCAGTATCACTACAGAAGTAGATTGCCCCATCTTCCTTCCGAGGAGGGCTGGTGGGTTTGAACCGCCAGCCTTCTGTTTAGCAGTCAAGTGCCTTAGGCGCTATGCTGTCAGAGCTCCCAAGAGCAGAGTAGCTCAAGTCAATTGCAGAGTTTAGGAATTTATTATTTTATTTTATTTTATTTTGCCTCTGTAAAATGTTTTGTTGTTGTTGTTGTTGTTTGTAAGCATTCACCTGCAAACCAAAGGGTTGATGGTTCGAAACCACCAGCTGCTCCATGGGAGAAAGATGAAGCAGTCTGCTTCCATAAAGATTCACAGCCTGGACTCTTTGGGGCAGTTCCACTCTGCCCCATAGGATCACCATGAGTCCTAATTGACTTGATGGCAGTGGGGCTTTTTGTTTTTGGTAACTTGAAGGGTTATTGTAAGGATTAAGGAGATAACTGTATGAAGCATTTAGCAGAGCCCCTGGCACCTTGTACGTGCTCAGTAAATAGTGGTAAAACAAACAATTGCCATCTAGTCAATTCCAACTCATGGTGACCCCGTGTGTGCCAGAGTAGAACGGTACCCCATTGGGTTTTCAGTGGAAGCCTTTCTTTTTGGGCTGAGTCTTAAAGTACAGACTCCCACATGCAGAACAAAGAGGGGCTCTGAAGGCAAAAGGAAGTCCCTGAGCAGAGTCTCTAAGATGAGAAAATCCTATCATGTTAGGCTGAACCAGAAGTACCTTGTGGATGGTAGGACATAGCAGAAAGTGAAAGAAGATGAGGGTGGTCAGAAAGGTGGAACTGTGTTTGAAGGGCCTTATGTGACATCCTGATGAGCTTACATTGTCCTCTGGGTAATGAAGTCAGGAGATGGACATGACCAAATCAATTTCAGAAAGATCATTCTGGCAGAGGCATAAAGAAAGATTTTTTACCGTGATTTACGTGACCTGAAGGTTAAGTTTTCATTCATTGTCTAGAAGGGATATTTATTAGTTGTAATGGAGTACAAGACTAATGGACCTTGTGTGCCCAGCTAAGGAGATTTTACCTTACCCTGTTGGTGATGGGAAACCATTGAATGATTTCGTGCAAGCCAGAGCTATGGTCATGTCTGCCAGAAGCGGGGGAAAAAATAAACAGCATATTATATTAATATATAATTATATTTAGGCTTTTTGGAATATTAAAAATAAATAAATAAATAGCTTGCAGACCTCATTTTGACCTCGTTGGAAGCCAGATGGAAATTTCTGGATCAAATGATTTCTTAGCTCCCCTCTAGCTCTGACATTCTAAGATTCTACAACAAGGAAGGTAAAGCTATTGCCAAAACGTATAATGCATCACAGTGTCAGACTTCGGGATTATCTGCTTCTTGGGGTTTTCCGCACCACTGCTCCCCTTCATTAGTGGGGATAATTGAGAGTTGACTGCAGTCGTTACCGCTGTTGTGATGGGTTTTTGAAGCTAAATTCCGGCAAGCAGGAGATGTGTGAATATTTATCTCAGCTGCAAAAAGTTAATGCAGTGTGGCATTAATTACCCTGTCTGAGCCTGCTGTCTTCTTCTGTTTTTAGGTGTCATTCTCAGTTGGATAAATTAGTTTCCAAAATTAGAATAGAACAAATTGTAGGGTGAGATCAAGGCAGCCTGACTTCTTAGGGCAGCCCAAAAGAGGAGTGGGCTGAGAAGGTCTACTCAGGAAAGATAAGGATGCAACCGTGAAGTCCAGTGCAGGCCAAAAAAAAAAAAAAAAAGATTGTGGCTCTTAGTGACCCTGTGTGTCAGAATAAAACTGTGATCCAGGGTTTTCAGTGTCTCACTAAGAGCTAAAGGCACAATTTTGGTTTCACTTGCTCAAAAGTACATGTAGTCATCACTGCTTGTGGAAACCAAAGGGCAATTTGAAATAAAATTTAGCAGTCTCAAATAGACATTTGTGAAACTGCTGGAAGTACACACACACAGAGTCACACACACTTGACTCATAGTAATTGTTACTATTTTCTGAAGACCTGTTACTGCCAAGCACCATATTGGATGCTTTCTACCTGTTATCTCTAATTCTAAAGAATCCTGTAAGATAAACAATGTTACTACCATTTCATGGTTGAGGAAACTGAGGCTCAGAAAAGTATCTTGGCAAGTCACACAGCTAAGTAAGTGAAGTATCCAGCTCTCTCTACTGCCCCGTGCTATTTCCCCATCTGGGAAATCAGTCTTAGCTTGAAAATCAAGGACAAAACTGGCTGAGTAGTTCTTCTTGATGATAAAATGTGTTGCCAAAATGATATGCACCATGATCAAAAGTAATCCCAAAATAACCTAAGGTCATCCATCATAAGCTGTCCCCTTTCTGTTCTAATTCCAAACCCTCCTTCCCAAAGCTCTCTCAGAAAACTCCTATCTGAAAACAGTGGGTCTCATTTTGTCCCTCTATCCACAGGAATCAGAGCCTCTCTATGCGCAGATCATCAGATCTAAGAAATAGCGTCGATGCAGGCTCGTGGTGGGTGCTTCAAGACTGGCGTGGAATTCAGCATCACAACAGGCTCTTTTGTATTCTTCCACCTCACCTCATCCCACAAAGAAAATCACTATTACCCGGTGGAACTCGCCTTGCTCTGCAGAGGGAACTATCGGTTTTTGGCAACCAATGGCAGATATCTATGGCAGCACAAAAAAAAAAAAAAAAATCACACCCAACATTAAATCACAAATCAAGCAAATGCTTACCCAACAAATACTCTGAGCTCTCTTAACATGGGTTTCAGATGACCCATTGTGTGAAATCATAATTCTAAGTTTCTCTACTTGTTGATTACTATAGAGACATGAAATTTGGAGTGACAGACATCAGAGAGTTACAAGGTTGGCACTGACTTCTTTCAGGCAAAAGCAAGGGATCCTCTGTGACTGCAGTATCGTCATCCATATGCCTTCTGACATGGTGATGCTTTTTCATCACTCCGCAGGGCCTAGTCTGCCATCCCCCCTCCGTCCTTCCCTTTCTTTGACATGTTTAAAAATTGGTGGGTGTACAAATTTTTGTATTGCTTTTGACTTTTTTAAAATATGGATGAAGAAATCTAACTGGGAAAAAGCTTCATATGAAATGAATTAACTTGAAATCACATGACAAATAAGTGATTGATTATTCATTATGATCAAGAAAGTTGCCAAAATAACCCTTTAGCTATTCTGCATCCTGGTGAAGAAAGACAGCTTTTGGTTTGAACTTTCATTCAGTGAGTAGGAAAGGACATCAAATCCCAGTGATGACAAAGATGAAAACCTCATCGGATTTCCTAAGAAGCTCTAAACTCTTAAGTACAATAAAGTGATATTTTTATTTTTCCGATATCTTGCTGCTGTGATGCTATGCAGACAAGTGTCTTTTCCGCGTGCCATTTTCAAAGAAAAGTCATTTGCCAAATAATTCTGGTAATATGGTTTTGGATCTTAAAAACTGACTTTCTAATGGAATGATGTTGACATGAACATTCAGAATAACACACTGAATCTGTGGTCAAAAAGGTTCATCTCTATCTCTTTTGTACATCAGGAAATTCAAATGGGATTTTTATTTTATAACTTGGGGTGGTGGGGAAGAAAAGAAAAACACCTTACCATTAAACTCTAAATATTTAAGGGAAATGGCTTTAAGGAGTTGTAATGAAAAAAAAAAAAAAAGCCAGTTTCTGTTTTGTAAATATAAATGTTAATGAAAATGCTTTTTAATAATGCCATTACACTGTAGAGAAGGTAGCAGATTGAGTGGAAGGTGTGACGAAGTTGATGGATGGGGCTCACTTTCTAAATGTTATTCTGGTGCAGATGGTAAAAAGTGGAATTTCAGAAACATCTAGCAAGAACAGTTGACCAGTCAGCAGCTGGTGAATGGGAAGGGAACATGGGACTTCATAACCTAGCCTTCCCCCAAGAGTACCCACCTTGTGCATAAAACAAGGTAAAGACAGTTTGCATTCAGAAGACCTGTACTTCTGATTCCGAAACCCTGTGCCACCTCTCCACTGCCCACACCTGTCCCTATCGAAGTCACTGGACTGTTTGTATATGAAACAGAAGAGTTTATTAAGCTTCCTTTTTTTTTTTTTTTTTACATTTATGAGACAAAAAGTGCAGTGTTTGGTTCGTATGTTTAGCACATGATTTTCATAAAGAATCTATATTTTTGCCCTACAGAGAATTGCTATACAGGTCAAATATGTTTTCCTGATGTTCCTATGCAGTTACACTATATTGAATTTAGTTAACACTAAGAAGAAAAGGCTCAAGAATTGTGTGATTAATTGGATTTGGGTAATTATTTTTGCTTTGGCTAAAATTTGAAAATCCAAATTTGCATTGATATGATTGATTTCAGTAAGGTTCTTCATATCAATACAAAATAAAATGATTTGGAAGAAGGTACACTTGTTTACAAAGAGAGCACTGATACATGAAGGTGATAGTTAATGTGTGAAGCCCAAACTTGACACTATCAGGTCACTGGACTCTTATTTATTTCCAGTTAGTTACAGTGACCAACTATCTATTACAGGATATAAATAAATGTCACCCTGTTGTGAAAGGGCTGAAGACCCAGAAAAGTGAGAAGGACCATTTACCTCCCTGTGTAGCTGTTACCTGGTCGTCCACATCATTTCTCCAGGGACATGTATACATTTTATGATTAGGTAATCCTTTCACAAGAAGGGGAGAATGGGAAAGGTGTCATAATCATGAGGGTTGTCCTGAAACCAGTTCAATCGTGTATTCTGAAGATTTGATAAGAAAGTCAGTTCCTATGCCGAAAAGGCTTAAGTTGCTGTGTTGTCCATGATTCTGACTCTAAGCAAGTGGTGCTATCTTCTCCTTCAATATGACCACCTTGAGTTTGTCTTGCAGTATCACATCATTATACTGATTCCTTGGGTTGATGCTGACACTTTCAAAGTGAACGCTGGCTGCTGCTGCTGTTTCAGGTACACCGTCTGGAGTTGATTTCATAGCAGAAGGTGACAGCCCAGTGGACTTGTCACTACTCATTGAACATGACTGGAAATGTAACTGGCTCTGAACTTAAAGAAGATGCCCATGTGGTGCATTAAAGTGAGGGGAAATAAAGTCAAGGTTTGAAACTGCCAACCATGTCATCATTGGCAGAATTCTGATTTTTCCAAGCACTGTTTGGTGAACTCAGAACCACCATATCCTATCCCAGGAATACAGTGAAATTTCCAAACAAGAGCTGAGGTGCCAATACCAAAAGACATGGGGAGTCTGCACAGTTCTGGTTAGATCAATAGAAAATCCATGTGTACAACTGTTAATTCCTCATCCTTCACTAGCACTAAATTTGTCACTTTAAATTTTGAAACCAGGGAAATGCCACCTGTCATTCTGTCCCCATTCCCCATAGCTCTTCAATCTTTTCATGTTGCAGGACTATTTTGATAGCTTGTACTCATCCCAGTGTCTACTGAAACCCCATCATGTAATGTGCTGGGCACCTTCTTTTAAAAAAAAAAAAAAATGTTTACTCTGTGGGTTTGGTTCATTTCAATTTCTGCATTCTGACACATATTTTTTTAATAAAGATGAGAAAGAGAAAATGACTGTTGCAGTACATTTCTAGACCTACTTTAACTTTACCTCAGATGACAGTTTGTTAACATATATGGACACATTATTTTTAACTTTATGTACAACACATTCAACAGAACAGCAAAATTTTTAGAAATTTTCCATTAATTTCTGTAACACACCATGTAAAACTGGTACAAATAAACATGTTTGAGAACAAAAGCTTAGCCTGGTTTATTCCTAAGCTCCCAATGGATGTTCAGTTGATGGATTGGAAAAGGAATTGTTTCCATCTAAGCTTCTGCCTGGAGTCCCAGGATACAGCAAATGGTTAAGCACTCATCTACTAACTGAAAGATTGTTGGTTCAAACTCACCCAGTGTTACCTCAGACAAAACACCTGGCAATCTGCTTCTGAAAAATACAGCCATGACAGAGGAAAAGGAAGACACACAGAGGTGCATGGGAGGTACAGACAACAAAGATGAACCCTTTTGCACATACAATACTGCGTTGTCAGTGATGGCAAACAATGATCTATGGATGGATAGATGGGTGGCCAGGCTGAACGATCAGTGTGTCTATGCAGTGGGGAGTGTGCCCGTGACCATGTATAGGGTTGGCAGACAATGTTTCTCCAAGTGTGTTTGTATGTTCTGTAAGAATATCTAGGTATATAGTAGAGCTGACAAGGGACAAGGTTGTAGTCACTTCTTGGCCACAGCTAGCTCCACAGAGGGAACAAGTAGTTGGACCTGTGGACTTGGGACCATGGTCACAGGGGACATCAAACTCAATTGGCATAACATACTACACAAAACATTGTTCCACATCCTACTATGGTGAGTAGTGACTAAGATCTTAAAAGCTTGCAGGCAACCATCTAGATGCAACAGTGGGTCTCTCATTGTCCAGAGCAAAGAAGAATGAAGACAACCAAAGATGCATGGAAACAATTAGTCCAAGCGACTGGTACACCATGCAACTCTCAGCTTATATGACTATGAGACCAGAAGAACTAGATGGTGCCTGGCTACCACTGTCAACCACTTGGAGGGGGAGCTGTGCAGGAGATCTTGGATAGAGTGGGAGAACAATATGGAATAAAACTCTAAATTATTTAAAAAAAAAAAAAGAAGAAGGGTCCAGGTTACTGGTCTGATAGAGCCTGGGGGAACCCTTGAGACTATGGCCCCTAGCTGCCATTCAGGTCTGAAATTGAACCCACTCCTGTGGCGTCAAGACACACAAAAGACAGGCATGCCAGCTAAATATTTACATTAGGTAGATACAGTCCTTGAGAGTTCAATCATAGGAGAATAGAAGGGCTGTGTATGTACAGGGAGACAGCTCAAGGGGCAGGAGTGCATGGGAGGGAAGGACATAGGGAAGAGGTGGTTATGGGAAGTAAGTGGGAGGAGAGCTGTTGCATTGTGGGAAATACAGTCAATGTCATGAGACAAAGTATATGTGAACTGCTGTATGGGAATATGAATTTGCTCTAAATTTTCCCCAAAATCACCAAAAAATTTTATATATATATATATATAAAAGATGGAAGAAGTACAACCATGAAAACCTGATGGAGCAGTTCTACTCTGCAAAGTATGGATTGGTATCAATTCCACAGCAACTAGTAAGCTTCTGTCTAACCAGGTGAAGACATATATTTGCCTTGGCACTGGACTAGAACAAGAAAACTCCAGGGAGGAGATAGGTCACTTTGTTCTCAGCTGAACATAGGCACTTGCTGCCAGCACCAGCCACAGTAAGGAATAAAGATGTCTAGGAGAACAGTTCTTGTGTAGAGGTGGTGTTTGAACCAAATGTAATATGTAACTTTCAAAATTGAAAAAAACCCAGAAATGGCCCTATGGATTTGTACCTCCTAAAAAGAAAGAAAGAAAGAAAATTGGAAAACCAAAGTTTATCTGAAGTTTAAGAGTCTGCCACAGCTCAGTTTAAGATCTTCTGCTTGTAGGGACCCAAAGAAGGAAGTCTTTGTTTTCCTTCACTTTACACACACACAAAGCTGAACTTTGACTTTCAAGTATGTTGAAGTGAAGAAAAATGTATATGCCTGTGTGTGTGTATGTGTAGGTATTTGTGTGTATTTATATGGTGGAGCCTCATTTTCATTTCTTTTTGTAACTAAATCAGTTTATCCATCCAGGCAGCTCAGCCAGATTACAGATGATAATTAGGTCGTTGAGATGCCAAAACCCATCTCTGTTTAGGACTGGTTATGTTAATGGCTGCATAAACACATGCCCTCAATATGGCCTCGTTTATACAGATAGTTTTAAACAGATGTTATCTCTAACTCTGAGAAAATAAGAGAATGGGATTCTATTTCAGCAAAATAAATTTTGAGCAGATAGAAGAGACAATGTTTCACACAGTAAGAAATGCAAAATCTTGAATGGAATTACTTTTTTTAAAAAAAAAAAAAAACTTTTCTGAGTAATAACAGCAGCTCACCTATGTTGAACAACTGGTATGTACCCACTATTCTCTAAGTGCTTTGTGTTCATCGCTTTAGTTAAACAACCCAGAGAACGTAGATATTACACCCAATTTATGGATCAAGAACCTAAGGCCAGAGAGATTAAACAACTTGCCCACCTAGCAAAAGCAGAGCTGAGATTTGACTTTTGATTCTCTTTCCCATCACGTACCAGTTGCCGTTGAGTTGATTCTGAATCAGAGCAACCCTCTAGGTCAGAGTAGAACTGCACCCATAGGGCTTCCTAAACTGTACTCCTTATGGAATCAGACTGCTACCTCTTTTTCCCATGGAACTGCTGGTAGAATCAAACCACCAATCTTTAGGTTAACAGCTGAGTGCTTAACCACTGCACCACCAGGGATCCTCTCTTTACCATCAGTGGATTCTAATTTTTAAAATAGTTGAATATTCACTTTTTCCAATAGTTCACTATAGGCTTGCTGAAAAGCTCCGACCTCCTATGCCTCTTCCCAGATCTTGACTTGATCTTTGGAAAAAAGTTAAATGTCTATGTTCTTCCAGCTTAAAGTGAAAATAAAAATCCAACTCATAGCAGCCTCCATTGGTTTTCTGGGGCTGTAAATCTTTACAGAAGTAGATTGCTCCATCTTCCTTCTGCGGAGCAGCTGGTGGGTTTGAACCACTGACCTTCTGGTTAGCAGTTAAGTGCCTTATCCACTACACCACCAGAGCTCCTTAAAAATCCATTAGATGTTATTAAATACATAGTTTCTCGTTTAACTGACACCTTTGAAAGGGTGCGTCTGAGGCATAGAGAATAAATCTTTTCACCCAACGAGTTCAAGTTTAGCTGCAACCAAAGTTAACTGGGGATTTACTTTGCCAACCTAAATGAATCTTAAAGAACTGACAAATTAAAAGGTGTCCTATTTAACTGCTAGGCGGATGCCAAAATAAATGAGGCAGATGTATCTGCTTTTATTTTGTGCTTGAGAGCAAACCCTTGTTGTTTTGACAGTAAATGTTTTTTGTTTTACTCAGAATGACAGTAGGAAAACTGCCTAGAATAAAAACAGGTTTCACTGAAATCAACCTTCAAAGCTTTGAACATTTTTAAAAGATGTTTAAATTCAAGGGAAATGTGAGCAATGGTGCCTGAAAGATTTAAAGGAGAAAAAAAAAAAAAAAAATAGTAAAGAGATGTAAATGGCTTTCAAGCTGTAAGTGACCACTTCTCAGTATTTATGTTAAAATATGAATAATGGCTGCCACCATTGAGTTCCCCCCCTGCAGGTGTCAATCAATTGCTAGCTATCATTTCTAATCCTTACACAAATCCCAAAAGAAAAGAAAGAATGCACCCTGTTTTACAGCTTGGGAAACAAATGTTTGATGAAACAGCCTCAGTTAACAGAATCATGAAATTCAGCCAGAGGCTGCCATAGTTCCTGGGGCCTGATTTCAAAGCCTCTTTACTCCATGATACATGCCAGGGTTTCTAGGAGATCTATCACTTGTACCTCCTCTATAAAATACTTTGGGTTCTTCAATCTTCAATTCCAAGTAGCCTCTGTTAGAGAAATCACACCATGCATTGCCCTGCCTGATTCCATACAGAAACTGATTCTTAAATAAAATGACTGTAGCTATTATTAAAATAAAGGAGCAATCCAGTTTTATTCTCAAGAATAAGAATGTCTCTAACCCAATCCAGTGAATATCTAATTTCAAAACAAAACCCTACCATCCACTTTATCTTCCAAGGTACAGAGATCTGAAGAGGGAGCCTATTTAAGCAGGCTTTCTCTTCATCCTTTACTGAAGCATGTTAAACCCTTTGCTGCAGAGTCGATTCTGACTCATAGTGACCCTATAGGGCAGAGTAGAACTGCTCCATAGGGCATCCAAGGCTATAATCTTTATGGAAGTAGTCTGCCACATCTTTCTCCCGTGGAGTCACTGGTGAGTTCAAACTGTGAAACTTTTGGTTAGTGGTGAGTACTTAACTACACTACCAGGGTTCCTTCAAAAAATGTTAATGACTGCAAAGTGGGAAATGTGGAAGACTGCAGCCTGTGGTGAGTTGGGGCTTTAAGCTTCTGAACAACTTCATGCTGGGGTTGTAACCTGGAGTGGAGAACAAGCAGGAAGGGTTGGAGGTGAGTGGGGAATAAGCAGGAAGTGTTGGAGGAGGAGGGAGCAGGTCACAGGGCTGGCATGTGGTCAACAGTAAACACCAAATTTCCCTTCTATATATTGTACTTTTTAGCAAATCTGTGCCTCACCTTTGGGAGGAAAAAAAAAAAACAACCCTAAATTCTATCTCCTTTCAGATTATAGGTCAAAGTCACTTCCTGTAGCTCAGGGCTATGAGCTCAAGAATCTAGGGACTCTGGAGAGAACAATCATGGGAGAAGGAAGGGCTGCTTATGCACAGGGAGATAGCTCAGGGTGCAGAAGAGTATGAAGGGATGGACACTGGGAGGAGGTAACTATGGGGAGGAAGTGGGAGGGGAGCTGTTGCATTGTAAATAACTGTGGTCAATGACATGAGACAAAGTATATGTGAACTGCTGTATGAAAAGTGAATTTACTCTGTAAATCTTCACCCAAATCCTAATAAAAAAAAATAAAGAAATTTAAAATAAATAAATAAATAGATAGATAAAAAATAAATAAATAAATAAAAAGTAAAAAAAAAAAAAGAATCTAGGGACTAAGTTATTAAAGGCAGAGTTGCTTCCTCTG